ACTCGGCGGCCACCATATACTCGAGGAGGTCGCTGGCGTCGACCACGGGCCCACTCACGCCCGCGCACGGACTCGCGCCCTCCTACACCCAAGCCACCGAGGTGTAAGTCGATTTTCGAACACGACCTTGTCCCTGTTGCGACGCTGAAGAGGAGCCCGGGGAACGACCACGCGGTTCTCGGTACCTCCGTCGATGATTCGCGACGGTGCTTCTCGATTACCCGATATACGTATTAGCCCGTACGTGTCTTTTCCGTGGGTCTCGAGTCGCCATCTTCGCCGTTTTTAGTCGTCGTGTATCGACGCTGCGAAACTCTCGGAACGTCGAGGGGCGACGGTCAGAAAATGGCGCTCGGGACCATCCGGTTAGGGAGATTGTGATGTTCGCGTGCGGATCGAACGAGTGTCAACGAACGAATGATTCGAACGAATGCGGAACGAGTGACTGGTCAATTTTTATTCGTATCTATCTGTACTTTTTTCTTACTTATATTAATACCGTAGCGGAGCTCGTACAGTCCGCATGTCCGTCTAACGTGTATCGTCTCGTCTATTTATCTAATCTAGCCATTAAACTGAATATAGGTGTAAAACACGGTTTTTCTAGATATCGTACGCGGCTACGGCGGTGGCCCGGCATTCCAGACGCGCGTTTTTTGTAATTTTGATATTTTAGTCACTAGTCGAAAGGTCGATAGGAGCCGAGAGCGTGCATTTACGACGAAACGGTCGACCGATCATCTCGACATGGTTCACGGACAATGAAAGTACATACTCGTACCGAATACAGGTTCACCGCCATCGATCGTGCGAAAAAGGTACGACGAGCAAACTCTTGTATAGCGCATACGTTTTAGCAATGAAGAATGCTGAGAGGCGGATTAAACTAAGCGAGGTAACTGTAAATATCATTCTTAGATGTTAGGTAAAAGCGCTGTAAATAAACTGGATAAGGAAAACGGTCATCAAAAACGATCGATAATCGATCGACGCACGAGATGCTCGAAGGTGTACAGATTGCAAGCGCGATCGCGACGAACGCGCGTTCCTTGTTCCATTTCTATCCGAATCTTTTCTGTCCGTGGAGCTTTAGTCTTTCGAGGAGGATCGCAACGGACATTCACGAGCGACAGACTCAATTGGTTACGTAACCCGAGAAATCGATGGAACTCTCTGGGTCGAATGGATATTAACCCGGCGGTTGACAGGTGAAATTCTATTTCCAGCAGTCTCGGACGAGTATGACGTCCGCGAGACGTGTACACAATAAAGTCCCTCTATATTGCCGAAAATTGCTGAACTCTATAATGTAAAAGTTTTGAATAAGAATTCGATGCATCTGGTAGCCGGCGGGTTAAAACGAACCGGCGAAAAAGAAAGTGCCGCTAGTCTTGCCACGGACGAAGGAACGCGTCGATCGAAGCGTATTTCGCGTCCGGAAAGAGCGTGATATAAATATACATACGTTATGTACACATACAAGTTAAACGAGCCACGTAAATTTTACGTGTCGTACACCATTTTTTACCGCCGAACGAGAAGCCCCCAACCACCCTTCACCGTTTTATATATATATTTACTCGTACGTACGCGTCTCGAACGTAGCAGGGAAAAATGAAAAAAATAAGAAAAAAAAAGAAAAAAAGGTACAGAGAAGCAACACGATTCCAAACGACACCTGTTTTTTGTACTTCGTATGGTTTTCCCTACAAGGGACTCATACATCTACGCACACGTGCATACCATCCTTACACTCACATCAGATACAGTATGCATACACACACGTGGTAGAAAAACGGTAAAGGATTCTGTACTCCGAGTAAATCGTAGGTAAAGGGAAGGGTGGTGGGCAACGGAGTTGGGGACAACGGTGGGAAAATAGAGGAGGGTACGTGGAGGGTATTGACTTCTCAATTTTTTAATTTTTGAAAGACTGAATTTTGAAATTTGTGGTTTTATTTATCTCAGGTTCTCGAGTTCCAAATTGTTAAATTTTTAGATCTGTATCTCTCGATTTTTTAATTTCCAGTTGCCTACTTTTTGAACTTTGAAATCTTCATATTTGCATATTCCCAAGGTACCAAATCTTCTGTGTTCAATTTTATATTCAAGTTATATATCAATTTATAATTTCAAGTTCCTAAAGTTTCAAGTCTCGCAAATTTCAAGTTTGTAAAATTTCAAGATTACCAAATTGCAAGTGCTCGTAAATTAAAAATGTAAAAGTGCAATAAGGGAAAAGGTAGACCAGTTGCTCCCGACTCCACCCACCACCGTATTTTCACGCGTGTATGCCACGTGGTCTAGAGACACGGCAGTAAATCCGACACATAAGCGAGCAGATCGTTAAGCACGTAAATATATATATAAATATATTACAGATACGTATAAATATAAATATATATATATATATAAATAAATAAATATATATATGTTCGTGGAAGCGTGCGCGGGACCTCGAGGCGAGGACGCGCTCGCTTCTCCGACGCGATGTCGATATCTCACAATTTTTATAATCGCTGACGGGAAGAAAACCGGGAAGGATAAAAAAGCAATTCCCTGTAACGTTTCTTATCTCGTCGACTCCCGGGACATCACGTGAATCGGGTCGCGTGCGAAACCAGGATTCCTTGGCTCGAAATGTACGGCAAACGAGACCGTACACCCTTTCGCTGCCGTTCGTCCCTTAACCGGCGGCCTCCATTTTTCTTTCGCCGTTTTTTTCCCGGTCGTTGAAATTTCGACGGCTCACGCGATCGTTCCGCGAGATGTCTCGCGAGAGCAGGTGATGAGAACGCGGGGAAGAAAGAAGGAATGGAACAAAAGGACTGAAAAACGATAACTGCCTCAAGCAACTTAAAACGAAAGAAAAAATGAAAAAGAAAATAAAACGGAAAAGAAACACGACCCGTATCGCATCTCGGACGGTCACCCCTGCCAAACGAAACGTACACGTGTAATGTTGTAAAGTAGTGAGAGTAAAGAAACCTTTTAGTGTCACATATCACGCCAAGCTGTTACGAGCGGAAACGAACAATGTCGCGTTCGTGGACGAGAGCGATGATGATTAGCGAAGGAACGGCGAATTAAATGGCGGGAAGATGTTACGTCGACGGCGAACACCGTCGACAAAGATTGATAGGGAGTTACGCGAACGAACGCGACGATAGAGAAACGAGAGGGAGTTTATAACGACGTATTTGTAATCCACTTTTTGTCACGATGATTGTCAATAAAATTGAAGATAATGTGTGTAACGAGTGTGTCCCGGAATTTTATCCACGACGATCAAACGGGGTATGGTTTTCTTTCTGTTTCTTTTTCCGGTAGAGAGCTTTGGTGACTTAGATATTGACGTAACTGGCGCTTAATTTCAGTATGATCTGTATATCATTACTAGTGGAGGTACAGTGGGGATTTATCGCGGGAGAATTCAACGCGTGGGAAATTAGCACGTAGAAATTTCATGGGTGGGAATCTAACACTTGGAAGTGTAACGCGTAGCTATCGCATGGAAATGTTACTTGTAAAAATCTGACCCGTGAGAATTTAACGCACGGCGATCTAACGTGGAAATGTAGCGCGTAGGTATTTAACGCGTGGGAACTTAACGCACGGTGACCTAATGCGTGGAAAACTTAATGCGTTAGATTCTAACTTGTGGAAATTTGACGGGTGGAAATCTTATGTGTTGAAATTTGACGCGTAGGAAGTTAATGCGTGGAAATCTGACACGTGGGAATTTAACGCGTAGGAATTTAGCGCGTCGGATTCTAACACGTAGAAATATAATGCTTGGAAATTGAATGCGTAGAAATTTAACGTGTAGGAATCTATCGCGTGATTATCTAACGCGTGGAAATTTAACGTGTAGGAATCTATCGCGTGGGAATTTAACGCGTCGGATTCTAACGCGTAGAAATATAACGCTTGGAAATTTAATGCGTAGAGAGTTTACGCTTGATTATCTAATGCGTGG